TAAATGATTCTGTGATTCTGTGATAACTGAGTAGCAACAGCTATTGCAAAACAATAAAGATTTGGTAAGTTACGGGTACTACAGTATTACCTATAGTTCAAAAACTTTTTTCAGTAAAAAGACTGTTTCTCCATGTTTCTAGAAAGCTATTAAGAGGCTGGAAGTGAGCCACACTTCTGTGCTTATGTCATGATTCCACAGCAGATTTCTTTTGTGTTTCAGGAAAGGATGTGGCTGACAGATGGTACAGTGAGATAAAAAATTACAGCTTTCAAAACCCAGGGTTTTCTTCTGGGACAGGTAAGTTAAGGCAGGCACTGCCTCTTCAAAAATTCAGTTTTTATTTTAAGAAATTGGCTAGCCAACTTGTTTGATACTATTCAAAAATCTAACTTTTTATCTTAGAAGAAAAAATTAGAGAGGAAAAAAATTAGAATTTTCCTGGAGTTTTATTTAGAAACTAACAGAAGGGTAAAAGGAAACTGAGAAATGAAGACGTAAGCAAAATTTGTGCTTTTTTTTTTTTTAATACTGTGTTTTTCCTCCAACTCCAAAGTTTTTAAAAGGCAAGTTAGTTTGTAGAAAATACTGAATTAGAATCATATGGGTGTCTTACTCAAGGTACTATGCTGTTGTTTACACTGACATGTGACTTCTACCAAATTATATCACTCCAATCACAGAGATCACTTCAGATATAACTTGGAGATCAGGAGCAGGCCATTGACTGCATGTTGGCAATCTACTGTTGAAAGATCGTAAAAGCATTGCTTCTTGAATAATGCTCCAGCAAGAGAGGTTCCTGAGCTTGTTTCAGATGAAGAAAATCACGGTTTTGTCCCATGGGATTTATCTGTGCATAGAGGGAACAACTGACGGAGCAGCACAATGCCGGGGTGGCTGTTACCACCAGGCAGAAGCAGCCACAAAACCAGTGTTATTTTGAACAGTTGCACATGCAGACACATGGGGGAGTATGAGATGGTTAAAGCAAATGAAGAATAGTCACTGTCAGAACTGCTCTTCACACTGCAGGGAGTAAAGACCGTGATGTTGAATTTTATATCAGATACTCATCAAACTGCTTCTTTCATGGTTCACCTACTAGGTATTCTTATTTGGATATAGGACATGGAAATGTCCTGTAGTAGTGTGGAACAAGATCACATCAGGCTTTTTCAAGACATATGCTAGATGTAGGGGTTTTTCATGTCCTTAGCTTGTTCTCCTGTTAGAGAAAGAAACAGTTTTGTATTGTTCCTTATTTCCCCACCCCTCACTGTTAAAGGGAATGTTATATATTTAGTACCTAAAATGTACGCGTATGTTTCTCTCTTTTTCTTCAGGTCACTTCACAGCAATGGTTTGGAAGAACACAAAAAAGATGGGAGTTGGGAAAGCTTCCACTAATGATGGCTCAACGTTTGTGGTGGCTAGATATGATCCAGCTGGAAATGTAGTAAATCCAGGCTATTATGAAGAAAATGTCCTTCCTCCAAGAAAATAACTTTTTTTTTTTTTTTTGAAAGGTAGTCTTATTGCTTAATGACAAGTGAACCTGGATTTGGACTTAACAGTGTTTGAAATGAAGTACGATTCAATGAAATTTCCTGTTCAGTACCGCTGTTCACTTCTCGTTCCAGAGGATGCAATTACGTGTTGCTTGAGTCGCTCTGCACGTTAGGTCCCTGTTGTTTCTGAGGGGGCTTCAGTTTATTTGAGGATGAAGTATATGCGGCATTTCTGAAGGGTAGAATTTGTAAGTTCTTTGGGGTTTTTTTTAAATAGTTTGCATGAACTCTGTCAGCATGTGAGTAAGCACATGTTGGGTGTCTTTTTTTAAACAAGTAAATTTATAGCGTTCTGTAAACTGAAGATACCAGCTTGTAATTCTATCACGTACTCCCAGTTTTCCAGTATTTTTTAATAACTGTAACTTCTCTGCTCTGTCTATACCTCCTGCTGCTGTGGGGCCTTCTCTCTGCAGACAGAACTTATGCAAAACTTCCCGCATGAAAGGTACACGTGTGCAATGTGGCGGCGTTCAGACTTAATGTGGTTTTATTAGGAGGATCTCACGGAACACTAAAACATCGCTGGCAAAACTGTATCTGTCAAGCAAGCGATAACTAATGCATGACCTGAAAGCTACTAAAATTGGTTAAATCCCAGTGTTAAACTTTAGGTGCTAATATTTGAAATCTCTTTGAGACGAGTGTATTTCAAGTTCGAACCCCATCTGACAGTTTACAGTATGTACATTGCCTTATAATCAAATCGTTCGCTTTTGTTACAGGAAAGCAAGAAACTACTTTTCCTCTTAGATATTTACGCACAAAAAAGTTTCTTTGATGGAGCCTGTTGGATTTTATTTCTTAATGACTTATTTTTATTTCCGAAGGAATGTCTTCTGTAGATATCACGCTATACAGACCATAACATTCCCAAATCGTCTCTCCTCTCCTTTAATGATGTCACAGTTGGAGGTATTCACATGGTCATAATTAAGAGACGTTTACTCTTTGTTCATATCACTCAATAATAGTAAAAATATTTCACATGCTGGATCGTTGCCTTGAAAAAATTCAGACTGAATTTCCTTAAAAGCAAGCAAGCAGAAATTCTGAGGACACTTTTTTTCTCTTATGAAATGTGGATTGGGACATTTTGGCCAGGTTCATGTACTGTGCTTCAATTTTGGGTTTTCTTTTCTCTGTAAATGTCTCTTTTGACTTCTGCTGAGGTTCTGTATGCCAGAATTTGGTTCATGGAGAGTGCCATTACAGAAATACTTCTTTTTGTTTACACAGGTGTAATAAACTGCACTGTTACGGCTTGATTATACGTCACTGTGATGCTGTATGTTACAATCTTTTTGCTGTAACCAAGAATTTAACACATACAATGAGCATCTGAAAATTAAATATTTTTGAATATGAATTACTGAAGCCTTTGCCGTTACCTGAGTCTTTGTTGAATAATCTTCAGATTTGATTTCCAGGCCATTAACGTCTGATATCACTTTTGCAACATGGAGCAACTAAAATCAGCAAGATTCTAGTCCCGGAAAGAAAGGAGAGACCTTCTAAGAAAAGATAAATCATCCATCATCCCCTTACACAAAGACTGAGCTAACGCTGGAAGCCGAAGCTGAAGAGGGGGCCGTACCTCTTTCTCTCTCGAGCTCCTGCTTTGTATCTCGTTTCATTTCTGCTGCTCCCTCTCTCGGCTGATGTGTTCTCGGTAAAGAATACCCACTCGACGCCCACTCAGACGTGTGTGTTTCAGCAACTGGGGCCTCCCTCTCTTCAATCCTCAGCTGACGTGTTGCAGCTCCCAACAGGCTAATGTTTTCTGTGCGGCGCATTATCCTCCCTGAGAGCGAAAACAGGACTTTCTAAAAAAATAGGCTTGCTGCAACTGACGTAAAGGTAAAAGCCGATGTTAAATAAATTAACGGTATTAAAATCTTCTTATTTTTTCCTAATGACATTGGTGCTATTGGCCCTATAATTCCCTGAATGGTTGGGGTAAATGTGTATCCTAGTTGAGTGAGCCAAGTCAGAATTTTTCTCTGCTCCCACCTAGGCTTTATTTTAATGTCAGAGGGAACAGGGAAGGTAGGTAAGGTGAGGACAAAACAAAGCTTGTCGTTATCTTTATTTAAAATGCTAGTGGCAAGTGAACTTCCAGAGCTTTTTGGACAGAGCATTTTGAGGGGGCACCAGAGGTACTCAGACACGGGAGAAGCACAAAGCCACTCAGAGAGACTCAATGCGTGCTTCATGCACTCCACAGAGAGTCCCTGCAAGTAAGTATGATTGTAACAATTAAAAAAAACCCCAAACCCTGTCAATCTAATTCTTCGTGACCCAAGATCATGATGTTGATGCCAGCTGCAAAGGAACTCCGGCTGCGCAGTAAACTGTGACGTACGTAGGAGTCCAAAGGCAAAGGGAAGGGTAACATTGCTGATGTGACTCACTCAAAAGCCATATGATTTTTTGGGAAGTGTTCACTGAAACCTGACTTACCAGCCATCTGTATTAAAAGATTCTGCGTAGGTGTATTTCTCCACTCTCCACCACATCTTGGAGACTGGGAGGTGGCAAAGACAGGTTGTCTCCTGTCATGTTAGAGCAGATCAAGGTGTTTAAGAGCTTCCTCAGCCAGGGCTGTATACACAGAAGTCACATTAGCCCTGGGAATAAAGAAAAGTCTGATCTGACAGCTGTGATACCGAAGAAAAGTACCTATCTTTAGAGGCCTGCAGATGGTTTCTTAGGTCTTTTTGCAGCAGGAGGAGGAATTCTAGCTGGTCTGAGGCTTCATGTCCATTTTTCTGGGTTAAATAATAACAAAGCACTTAGGGAAGAATTGGGACTGGTCTTAAAAAAGTGCTAAAAAGGGAAGCCTGCATTACACATTTTAATTTGCCAACTCCCCTCCTTCCCAGAAGGACAAACCCCAGGAAATTCTGCCTCCAAAAGGTGGAAGATGACCCGGAGAAGTGGTAGAAGTACCGCTAGAAGACCACAGATGAGACAGAAAGCCACATCACATGAACAATAATAAGCCTATGGGCAAAAAAGATACAAGCGTTTGGCGGAAGTCTTGCAAATTGTACTTGGGAATGGTTTGCTTTTTGGGAGCTCAGCCGCTCTACTGGTCTCCAGCTTTAATTTTGCAGGTGGATTTGCCTCCAACAAGGTGGTTGACTTGATTGGGTGGACTGCAGAGAAGTCCTGTTAGGTTGGTGGACTGCTGGCCTGCAGGCTTGAGCAGTGTCACATGCGCCCTAAGAATGATTTTAGCTTTTGTGGGTATCTCTAACATCGCTAGACTTTTTTTTTCTCTCTAATTCAGTATTTAAAGACCCTTTTCCGTGTGACTGGTGTTAATGCTAATTTGAGCTGTCTTTTCAGCGCCCATTTTCTTAAGCTCCTACAATGTCCACGCAGCCAACTGCAAAAAAGCCAGGTGTGACTTCAGCTGAGGTAACAGCTTAAGAAAACAAAGCTTTTAAGAAAACAAAGTCTTCACTGGCGTTTAGTTTGCCCCCGTGGTGATGGTTGTTTTCGGTCTATATTAGAAAGCCCAGAAAGCAGTAATGTGAACAAAGCCATAGACCGTCCCGATCTGTTGATTACAAACACCGATGCTGCTCGTCTTGTGGCTGCGCTACACACTGGTGCCACATCTTCTATCCCCCAGACGCCTTGTGAGGGAAGGGCTACGGGTAAGATGGCAGCTGGAGGCTGTTTGACCCCAAGTTGGCTGCGCTACACACTGGTGCCACATCTTCTCTCCCCCAGAGGCCTTGTGAGGGAAGCGCTACGGGTAAGATGGCAGCTGGAGGCCGTTTGACCCCAAGCAGAGTGGAAAAAGGGTTTAAGATGGCACAAAGCAAGCCAGTGAGCCAAAGACACCTCCCTCCCTTCCTGAACCCGGCACTAGAAATCTCAGAAAACTGCATTTTTAGGGAGAACACAGCAAAAAGTCAGGGGCTGGCTGCTTGAGTTATTAAGTGGTAGGAAAGTGAAATTTGAAAACAACATTGTTATTTCTGTCTCCTTTACACAACCTAAAGACTGAAAAACCTGTCTGCACATCCAGCTCCACAGTGAGCTGTTGTGTCCTAGCACTGCCTTTCCCAAACCACACCATAAGGGGATGGTGAGATTGAGTTTTAACACCTTTCAGCTCTCTTTTTGCCTCTCTAGGGGACATCAACAGGTTAATTGCTGCTCCCCAAAGCTCTGCACACCAGACTGTGGGATTTCACTTCTTGTGGCAGGAACACTAGGCCTGGGCTTTCCTATACGATCAGCCCAAAGCAAGTCACAATCCAGAAAATAATCTGCTTTTTCAAGCTGTTAAAGAAGCCCTTTGTGAAAGGTATTAAATGCTGAAAGCCAAGGAGGGCCTGAGAGTCTCCAACAGTGTCCCCTTCCCCGTCTCTGGAGGCATGCTCTAACAGGGGTGCCCCGCCACCCTCCGCGGATGAGTGCCATCCCTGTGCTCCCACACGCCCCAAACAGCAGCCTGGGGGCTGAGCGACTCCCTCTCTCCTGTGCTCCTCCCCATACACTTCACAGTTCCTCTGTTCCTTCACAGAGAGTCGGGCCTTCTAGCCGAGTTCACACTTGCACGATCTAGCAGCCACTGCAAATCTGCCTTTTGAGCTGATTTAGTTCTTGAGCAGTGCTGTCAGGACCAAATCCTCCAATAAGAAGTTTTGTGGTCTCTGCTTATGCTCAAACATTAATTCCTCTGTCTGTTCGGAGCTGTCTGTCCCAGTTTTTCTAGGAGAACGCTGAACCAGACAGGATTGCGAGAATCTTGTCATCAATGCAACAAAATGCAGTTGGCTTTCAATTATGCCAGGTGAACTGAAAAGGAATAACCCAGAAAAAGCAGACGTGGATCTGAGAAACCTCAGAAAAGCTGTAAAGAGGTCTGCAGAGAGCAAGCGTACATGAAAGCACGGCCAGGATGCAGAGACTC